TATAGAGTTCCCCCCCGAACTCAAAGAGCTAATAACTGGAATGATGCTTAGCGACGGTTCCCTTCGAATTCATGGAAAGGACGCCTACTTACAAATTGGGCAAAAGGATAAAGAATTCGTTTACCATCTTTCAAATCTCTTTGCTAAGATTGGAATTGTTGGGGCACCACCTATCGAGTGTAAGAGCATTATTAAACCTAGTGGGAACCTTCGTATCTCTTACCTTCTCACTACCTTTACAATGCCCTATTTAACTGAACTTCACTCGGAGTGTTACCGAAAAGTCGAGGGGAAAAACGTGAAGGTAATTCCTTCTAACATTGATTCCCTTTTAACGCCTATTGCTCTTGCTTACTGGCTCTCCGGGGATGGCTCTTATTGTCAAACTACGGGCAGAATCACAATCGCGACGAATTCATTCAGCCCCGAATTTGAAGATAAGTAAACTTGCAATAGGGGATTTTAATTGCTATACACAACCATAAGGTGATCAAAGCGCTCACTGGGTAGAGAAACCTCGAACTTGCTTCGAATCAAAGTCGTATGTCCTACCAATTAGAGGACTGGGTAGAGAAGAGTTGAACTTCTACAAACTGAATCAAAGTCAGGTGTCCTACCGATTAGACAACTACCCAGATTGAACTCGTATCTAAGAGCCATGACATACACCCATTAATACGAGCGAGCAGCCCCACCCCAGCAGCAGTTAACGAATCTGTTGAAATTTGTATACAATGTTGCTTATGGTAGGGGAACTTATTATCATTCATAAACCCGCTCCTGGGGAGAATTTTGAAGCTGTTAGGCTAGTGGATTTAATAGAGAAAAGGAATAGCTCAAGATAGTAAAGGGAAGGGGGGGTGACCCTTTGGCAGGGTCAGAACTAAGGAGAGCTCCACAGGAGCCCAATAGAGACCAGGAAAGGGATACGAGTAAGAGGAAAGAGAAAAGAGAACTCGACAGGTTACCCAAGAGAAAAGAGAGAGGAATCAGTCAATCAAGAGAAAACAGAGGTTCCCGTAATTGCCAACAAGTAGAGGATAAAGGACAAGAATATTCAGAGTTTGGCAGGGCCTTCGCTAGTGCCCCTATTGGCAAAGAGGGTGAAGAGAAGAATAGCCCAAGGAAGCTGAGTAAGTTTTCCCAGTTTGCCGAGGGGGGGGGGGGGAATTTTTAGAGAACTCTGAGTAGAGGAATTGGCCGGACCGCCCGGATGAGTAGGACCCTCAAAGGCTACCAAAATCGGACCAATCAGGGCTATAAGTAGAATTAACCCTGTCATAATTAACAATAGAGGATAGGTAGTAAATAAAAGAAATCCAAGAGTTTCAACTTGAGAAAAAGAGACAAAGGAGGTAACCCATTGGAAACTGTTAGTAGCATGAGCAAGACCTAAAGTTAATGTATCAAACACAGAAGGATAGTGAGGAAAAGGGATCAACCCCTTGAAGGCGAATACTGCAAGTAAGCCTATTACGAGAGCTGAGGGATACTCCCCACCCTCTGCTGCTTCATTAATTACTGACAGCTCAACTAATTTCAAGTCCATTAGCATGATGACGAACAGGAACAGCATGGCTATGGCCCCTACGTATATGATGAGGTAAACAAGAGACAAAAAAGTAAGCCCCAGGATTGCCATATAAGCTGAGAGGGCTATAAACACCAGTACCAAGGAGAGCACAGCAAGGACAGGGTTTTGCGAAGTTACAACTAAGATAGAAGAGGCCACCGCCACCAAAGGCAGTGATTCTAGTAAGACCTGAATCATTACTTTGGACCGAACATAAACTGACTTCTTGGGAGGGTGTAATTTCTTGATATTTGTTATTCAAAAGGGTTGTAGAGCCAGCCCCCCTTTATGGAATCATTATTAAGGAGGAAAGAGCAACTCTTTAAAGGCCGACCCGCTACCGCATTGAAGGGCCAATGTGTGTGCCACAAGGCCCTTTAAAGTAGCCACTGAGGCCTTAGCAATTCGAATAGGTACTGGTCCTTACCCTTATTGGCAACAGTGCGAGTAGAGTGAATACCATACTTATCGAGGAGCAACAGAGAACGGAAGAAGGCAGCAGCAGTAGAAACAAAATTGAGAGACAGACATAGGTGTGATTATCATATTCCAATAATTAGATTCGGCGCAGATGCCAGAGAATTTGAGGGTTGGTTGGGTCTGTTAGAAGTTGATCCGCGTTACAGTAAAATTCCAGCTCCGCTGGGGTAAGATTGAATCTTGTACAGGCCTGTGGGGGCGTGAAGAAAAGAGGATGAGGATGTGCAGGGTGATTTTTAGGGTCAACAGAGTGAGAGGTAGCCACAATAAGCCTGAGCCGGCGGCTACCCCTTTTTTCCTGGGGGTCGTAATTTGCTTGATTTTCCTGATCTTGAAACCCTCTTTTGCGCCGTACCATTTTAACTATCAAAATACAAAGGGATGCACCAATGAAAAATAATGAGTCAAATAAAAGGGAATCACACTTATACGAATTGGGAATAATCATAAAGATAACTTTGTTCCACTGTGCTAGTGCTACAAAGACTAAAATCATTATCAAAATCCAAAGTATCAATCTGAAAATAAGTTGAAACACTAAATGAGCCCCTCGGAATGAAAGCTCGACCAAGTAGGCTTGCCGGCGGGCTAACTGACCAAAATCAAACTATTAAGGGGCCATACTGCCAGGTACAGTAGAACTATGACGGCAACAGCTTTTGAAAAGAGCAGTTCTAAATTAAGCGGAAGATACAGCCATTGCTGGCAGAAGGTAAAGAGGTCAAAGAATAGCATTCCCCAATGTATAGTAATTGTAGTGGTAGTGAACATCTTTAACTTAAAAAACAAAAGCCTGCAACACCGGCCCTTATAAAAGGGCCACAGGCTGCCCAACACCCATTAGGCCTTTTAAAGTCATTGCCCAGGACCTTTTTGGTCTTACATTCCAGATCGTTGCAGATAGCACGTTTTCTAAGAGGTGGAGTCGGGGGAGGCTTTGAATTTGTGGGAAAATCATTCATTGATCAATTTTGGATCAAAGTTAGAACCATAAAAAGGATCAAAAAATAGTTGCACAAGCTCTGCATCTTCTTGTTCGACGTGCATTTATCACTACCACCTTTTTATTGATTAGTCAAAGCAATGTGGGGTTATTTTGACCCCGGGCTGGCCCCAGGGAAAGTTGTTACAGGGCTAGCCCATTTTCCCAAAACAACGGATTAAAGGCCAACTCTATACGCCATCGGCGGTGGTATGAAAGGAACGGTTTCACTAGTTCTTGTACTTGATGAACTTGTTGGACCCCTTTTAGGCATATAATTTTGATTGATCCTTAGCTTGATTAGCAACATTACGAGTAGATTCAATACTATACTGCTCAAGAAGAATAGACCGTCAAAAGTCAACTTTCGTGGGAGTGAAGGTCTCTGTTGAAATTTGAATGCATCCATAACGCTTATTGAAGGTCCCGGCTCTATTAAGGGGGGGGGGGGAATTTGAAAGGAATGAATTAATCAAAGTGTGAAGAAAGCCAAGCGAGATAGTGTGGAAGATCGACAGCCTGTATAACGACAGGCATAGCAGAATGATAAATGCCGCATAATTCGAGGACAGTACTGAAAGAGCGCCCAAAGACAAAGGGACCTACTTAGTAGGTAGTTTGTAGTGCATTGACGAGTGAAGATGAGGACGTACTAGCTCAACGAAAGTAGGGATAGAAGCCCGGCGAACGTAGATGACCTTCTGGCCTTTCCCCCCCATCTTTTGGAGGGTTCAATTAAGACCAAAATTAGTAGAAAGGCTTTGAAGGAGTATGTCCAGCTCACCATCATTGAAAGAATGAGTTGAAAAGCAAACTCCGTTATCCCGTTATCGGTAGTCTTGAATCCGTCTTGGGCAAAGGGCCAGACCCAGAGGAGTAAGATGGTTGCCAATGTCAGTAGGGAGTATCTTGGAACCGTTAGGATAAAACCACTCCCGGTAAAAGTGAAGGCAGGGAAGAGACATTGTGCAAAGAAGAAACCCTGGGTAGGTTTTATGTTGCGTCCTGTCCCGTTTAGAAGTAGGGCTGGGTTCACTCTGGCTAATCAGAGAGGAGAGCAAAGAGCTAAAAGAAAGCAGGTACTTAAGATTAGATTGGGTAAGGCTCAAGCGAGTAGTAGAATTAGGGCCGGAGGGTTTGCTGGCATATAAGTCACCTAGAAGGGAGCCTGTAATAATCTCGTGCTGTTGCTGGGTTACAGTTATACTGTTACGCTGGGCCGCCGGTCGTTAGAGTAGGCCCCCTCTTTGAACCTGAGGGAGAAGAAAAGTGGCGAACCGAAGAGCCCCTTGAGGAAGAGGCTGAAGATGTAGGAGTGGCCTTAGCCCTACCCTTTGTGGCCGAGCTCACTGAAGGATAAAATGAAGAAGGTGAAGGCGAAGAAGGTGAAGGCGAAGAAGTTGAAGAGGTAGTGGTAGTAGTCAAATAGAAACCACAGTATATATCTGGGCTAACTAGGGAAAGGGTCATATAAACAGAAGGAGCCTGTAGGATAGGCCATCAAATATAACCTGAGTGATTGTGTCCGGTCCCTAGTTTAACTCCCGGTATTCGCGGCGGTTTCACCCCGGGAGCCGCCTCTGTGTAGAGAAAGGGAAACCCCCAGAATTCTTTACCCAGGCTTAAGATAGGGTCTATGGTAGAAAGATTCATCTTTGCACTGAATTGTCAAATTCCATATATGCATAGCGGTGCAGTAGCCCTGAATGAAATCTGATAGATTTCAAAACCGTAAAACGGCGGCCAAGTCCTCTCTGGAAGGAGGCAAGAGGTTCGTAAGAGGTCAAACAGGGGGGGAATTTTGAATGAACCCAAAATGAGGGGAAATTTGGAAGATGATAATTGAGTGGATACCCAAGCGAGATAGTGAGGAAGGTCAACCGATTGGATAACAATCGGCACAACCGATTGGATAACAATCGGCATAGCAGAATGATAGATGCCGCACAATTAAAAGCACGAACCATAGAAGACACCCTCTCGGTTGATGGTCACACCAGTCTGATTAAGGCGGCCTGGGATGAAACCTTAAGAGTCTTGAATGAACAGTAATCCAGTGTAAACAGACAGGACCTACAGGGCAACTGAGAACCAGTGAGGTTCCTTTAGATTAAGGGTAGATTTGACCTAGGAAAGATGTAGCCTAGTCAGACCAAATAGCTTTCACCTTAGCTTTGAGTTCAGGTGTCCACCGTAGCTGCTTAGAATCTTTGGGAATACTCGACTCGATAAGACCCAATACAGCAGTGAGTTTCATCAAAGCTATTCGTTTAGCCCCATAAAGTGGATACTTTTCAAAGAAAGGAAGAATGACCTCTATAATAGTGGCTCTATTTTGAGTGGAGATTCTTAGATTATCTGGACCATTTGGCCGAAGAGTTTGTCCCGGAAGACCTAAGAGTGGCAACATTGACTCTAAGAGTGGTCGGTTTGTAGTAGCTTGGTCAATAGCGAAGTATGCTCTTCCAAAATGAGGGGAATCATTCTTCACAATGAGGGAAAAACACCCATCACCTGTGACAAAGCCAGAATTGTCATTAGGATCAAGAGGAATGTAGTTAGAGCTGCTAGGGACAGTATGCTCCGGTCTGTAACCCTCCGGGGTCTCGCGGCCCGTATTCATAGCTTGAGCTATGGCTCGCAATGAATAGACCCCTTCTGCAGTTAGATGCTGCTTATTAGCGACCATCTCAACACCCTTCACGAAAGAAAGAAAGTCCAAGTACATTGTATCCCTAACTCGGTTCCGAAGAAAAAAGGGAGTTATCTTAGAGTGGATACTTTTCAAATCTTTGACTTCCCAAGTGAGCCACCCCTTTTTGTCTACCTTCCCAATGTTGCCACACTTAAAGTAGTCCTTAAGCATATACAATAAGCAGGAATCCTTGTGGTTAAGAGAAACCCGGAACCGACATACTATACTAAATCCTGTTTTAATGGTCTTAGAATTCATAATTGGAATGTCAAAACAACCCTCAGCTTCGGTAATCCCTAGTATAAACAAAGGATTAGGGTCTTCAGTAGAGTCGTGAACATTAACATGAGTCGTAGAGTTGGAAGACAAAGAACGAACAGGAAAGCCTCTGCGGAAGGAGAGAGATCTTCCTGAGTAGGAGGCCGCAGAAGCACGAGCGGGGTTTGGCTTTTTTGTTGGTTGCCTAGCCTGCTGAGTAGGCCGCCCTTCGAGAGAGGCGAGCTCCCACAAAATCGGGGCAATTTGCCAGTAAAGCGCCACCCAGACAATTAGAGAGAAGAAAGACATCGCGCAAGTCAATTTAAATCCCGGCACAAGCTCACACAGGACTTCATAGGGAAGGTGAGGAAGCTGTACCGAGAACTGAAGTACACAGAAAGTCACAAGGAAGATATATGAATGGAAGACAAAGGAAGCCACAAAAGAAACAACTCTTAAAGTCATAGGGGGGGAATTTTTAAGAGGATAATTGAGTAGAAACCCAAGCGAGATAGTGAGGAAGGCTAACCGATTGTATGACAATCGGCATAGCAGAATGATAAACGCCGCATAATTCATAGCACGAACCATAGAAGACACCTTCACGATTGATGAGGACACCAGTTTGGTTCAACCGCCCCGGCAGGCAGTCCATCTTAATACCGAGAGAAGGAACACCAAAAGAGTGGATCACGTCAACACCGGTAACAATAAAGCGAATAGGAAACCCAACAGGAACAACGACCCGGTTGTCAACCTCCAATAAACGTAAATCTCCCTTTTCCAGTTCGGTCTCGGGAACCATATATGAGTCGAACTCTATGCTTTCCCCAAACTCGTCAGCATAATCACTGTATTCATAGGACCAGAACCATTGATGACCAACAGCCTTGATAGTAATACTAGGGTCAACTATTTCGTCCATAAGGTATAAGAGCTTGAAACTAGGGAAAGCAATAGCAATCAGGACGAGTGCAGGGGTTATTGTCCAAATAAGCTCAATTACCGTCAACCTCTCTTCCTAAGAGTGCAATAGGATTGAGAGGTCGGACTATCTCTTCATGCCTTACTAATTAGCATGTTCCACATATAGTCTCTGAGGATTCCTCAGCTAAAGGTTTCCTGCTGATAATCACTATAACATTTGCCTATGTTACTCCCTGGTTAACAGGTAAGTTGACTTATGTAGTGATGTTCTAGCATACAGTGGAATGCACAGGGCAGCAGATTCTTTCATTGTCTGTTAGGGTTTCTGCCAATAATTACTGGTTATAGTGTGATCGGCCAATCAGTTTGAAGTATGCTGTAGTGTCAATAACATTAACACCATTTGGCACAGCATTACTGTAGTGGAAGCTTAATTCGCCTTTGTACAGTAACTTAGGATCAGATAACTACCGATCAAACGCTTGAGATCGGTTAGCTACTCGCCATATGAATCGTGATGTATCAGCTTTGGACTTGAATGTCACCCATACATCGTGTTTGATATCATGCATTACCAATGCCACTTGACGTACCTTTGGGGTTGTTCGATCTCCATTGGACGTTAGTAGCCACAACGTAGTTAGGGTTCTTGACAAAGAAGAATGTACCTTGTGTAGTAGCCACTGGTTTTTCCATATTAACGTACCGTTCAATGTACTTAAACTCTACTTTGTTATCCAGGGCCTTAGCTGCCTGAGCAGGACTAGGGTAGGTATCATGTACCGTTTCCTTATCCTGGTGTAATGCATGAATCCCATCTGGAAGACTCTCAATGTCCACGTCCTGAATAGCATTGGTATTAAGTGTTGGGCCTAATGGTCGTGGTGCCACTGTAGCTCCTTCTTCCCGTATTGAAACGACAAAACCGAATGTAGGGCTCCAAACTGTAGTATCATTATTCAGATGTGCTATCAATGTGTTGTAGCCTATTCCTAGCTGGTTTGCTAATCTACCTTTGAAGAGCGAGTTGGCTACTTGTCTAGTTACATTTGTGGTTGCATCAGTAGTGGTTACTACGATGTTAGCTTCAGATGGTTTGGCCACATTCTTAGGAGTCCATTGAGTTAGGAACTTCACGTTATCCCTGTTAACAGTAGGCTTTAGTACAGTGATTATAGCCTGCTCCTGAACACGAATTATCCATCTAGTACAGTTGATGAGAATGTCTATCTCATTGACGTTAAGCACGTAGTCCTGGTGTTTGATAGCAAACTCATGTAACAGGTTCACTTCCGTAACTACTACACCAAACGTAATATTGGCCCACCCTCCTGCTCGTTTGACAAAGCTATTAAAATCATTGAGCCGTGAGCCCTTTCGTATGAGCTTAGAGTACTCCGATCTGTATTTCTTTATTCGATTAGAGAAAGCTAAAGTTGATCCTACGTAAAATGTATTCAAGTGATTACACATTAGAAGGTACACACCTGCGTAAGGCATTAGGTCAGGATTGTTAAACAAGGATGCCATACTTTGACTGTGATGGGCTACAGTTTGGGGGTCACCTTGAGAGGTGTCATTATACACAGCAAGTGATGGTTTAGGATCTTTCGTAATCAGATGTTGAAGTCGCTCATTACTCTGTAGATAGTCTAGTACAGGGCTATTCGTACCCTTAAGGTACTTAAACATAGCTAACACTACGTTACGACCAATTGTCATTGCTTTAGTCTCATGCCATGGGATTGGCTGCACAGAGGAATTGGATGGCAGCTTACCCTTAATGCTCTTCACGGGTATAGTAGACTGAGTAGCACTATGAGGACTAGAAGTCGAGTAGAGACGACCCTGAGTCCCATGAGGAGAACAGACAGGTTTCTGCTGCCCTGAGGGCCCTTGAAGACCATGGTTATGGTACTTGTGGACGATCTGGTTATGGGAGGAATTGAAGTTGCGGATCGTTGAGGTTAGCATCCACCCCACCCCTAGCAGGATAAGTATGAGGTAGAACATAATTTGATCATGTAACTCGGCTATGCCCTCAAAGGTAGGAGAGGCCCCATCCTGAAACCCAATTTGCCAAGGGTGAGGAGCGTCGTTAAATACCAGTTGTATAAAACCTAATAAGTATTGTAGCATTGACTATTATTCAAAGCCATCCCATATATGCATAGCGGTGCAGTAGCCCTGAATGAAATCTGATAGATTTCAAAACCGGTTTAAACCGGCGGCCAATACACTGGTCAAACCAGTGGTCATAGGCAGTTTAGAGTCAATACCCAGGACACGGCAATAGCAGGGGGGAAATAAAAGAAGATCAAGAAAATTAAGAACGATTAAGGAGAAGCACCAGAATAGCTTCCCCAGGCACCAGTAGAAAATGAAGAGAGCCCCACTCGGTAAGCCATCGAAGAAGGTATATAAGGTTTAACAAGTTCCTGTACTTTGCCCACCTCCCTTTTAGGAATGCGAATAATGTACTGACCTTTCCCTTTTATACCCGCTGCATTGCGAGTAGACTCAATATTCAACTTATCAAGAAGGATCGAACGCAGGAGTTCAACCTCATTAGCTGAGAAGTTATCAGTGCAGAGAGAGTGTTTATGTAATGGTTGGGGGGAATTTTGAAGGAATTCTGTATGAAGGAGCAATCTTTACAGGCCAACCCTGTCACGCATTGAATGAGGGAAATGCTCAGAAACCAGGCACTGAACCTTAGGAATTTCTCTTTTAGGGATACGGATTTGATATTGTTCTTTAGCTTTATTCCCAGCAGGGCGAGTAGAATGAATACCATATTTATCCAAGAGAACGGACAAGGTCAACCTCGGCAGGAGTAAAGGAATTCGTAGCGATCTCTATACATCCGTCTCTCTTACTGTAATGGGAATCTCCTGCGAGCCAATAAGCTAGGGCAACAGGTGTCAATAGGTCAGCAATATTGGAAGGTATAATCTTAACATTTCTTTCTTCCACCTTTCGGTACCATTGTTTTTTTGAGTCTGTTAAGAAGGGGAGAGTGAAGGTTTTGAACTCGTAAGCTAGCTAGCTTTGACCCGTGACCTTTACGAAACTGGGAGGTCTCTTTAGGCTCGGCACCAACGATTCCAATTTCGTTAAAGTGGTCCCATATGTGGTGGACGAATTCTTTATCCTTTTGTTTCATTTTAAGTCTTGCATTATTCCCGCACATTTCAAGTGTACCATCGCTGAGAACCATCATAGTCCAACTCGGTAACCCATTGTAGGATAAATATGGGGGCCTACGAGCTCCTTTAATGTAGCCATAGACCCCTTAGCAATTCGGATTCGATATTGGTCTTACCAGTACCATTCGAAATCCGAGTAGTTTGAATGTTTAACTTAGATAACAGGATAGACCGCAATAGGTCAACGAAACTCATCAGCTGTAAAAGAATCGGTACATATTACTACTATACCTTGAGCTTTATTGTAAGTAGCGGCCCCTGAGAGCCAGTAAGCAAGAGCTATAGGTGTTAAAAGGTCAGCTATATTGCTGCGGTCTGACCCAACAATTGGGTTGGACGACCCCTGCGGTCTGACCCAACGGGTTGGACGACCGCAGGAGGTGCCGGTCCTGATAAGGGTACGGCCCGGCAGCAGGCGAAGGCTGAACATTTTTCCCCTCTTCCTTGACATACCATTTAAGGTGAAGATCAGTGAAGAAAGGATGTGTAAAGGTAGCGAATGAATCAGTGGTCCAAGAGAAACCCCGTTTTGTATCGGTACGATGGCGGGGTTTAGGGGTAGCGCCTACTATGCCAATAGAATAAAAAAGGTTCCATATATGTAGTACAAAGGATTGCTCTATTTGAAAATAGGCATTTGAATTGGGAGTTCTCTTATCCTTACTTAAACTACCATCACCAAGGGTCATTCCGGTTATAACTTCTTTGAATTCCTCAGGGATTACAGGCAACTCTATAGGCCATCGATGCAGCAATATAAGGCTTAACTAGGGCCTGTAACTTCGGAACTTCACGTTTAGGAATTCGGATAATATACTGCTCTTTTCCATGGCCGTTATTGTAATGGCTAGTTTTGATTCCATACTTATCAAGAAGAATGGACTGTAGAAGCTCCACCTCCGCCGGGGTGTATGAATCCGTGTAAATTGTGATTCCTCCCGTATTCTTTTCAAAGTGTCCGTCCGGTGCCGGTCCTGATAAGGATACCTTACGAGACGTTGCGGATAGGCCTTCGCATTTCATTTTGATCTGGGGGTCCCTTATGTTGTTACAGATAAAATGAAACTATAATAAGTGAGTGAAAGGATTTATGAAAGAGCTTCAATGAAATCATTTCGTAGAATAGATATCGTACCGCTCCCATAAGATGTTAATTAAGAGCCCCCCCCCGCAGGCTAGGAGGTCCAAGGCTTATATGATTGCAGCCATAGAGTATGTAGCTTAAAGGTAGAGCACCCGTCTTTTAAACGGTTAAATTGGGGTTCGACCCCCCACATACTCATTAAATCTGCTTCGGTCAAGGCACTCTTAGCCGACAGAGAAAAGGATACCAGGAGGCCAACGGGGGGGAATTTTGATAAGAATTCTTATTTAGGAGGAAAGGCTCTTAGAGCCCTATGCGATAGCGCATACTATCAGGCATCAAAGGGGAAACTAGGGCCTGCAGTTTAGGGACCTCGCGTTTAGGGGGTTCTTTATTCTTATTCCCAGCTGAAACCCGAGTAGAATGAATATTAGATTATTCTTCTCTAGTAGAATAGAACGTAGAAGCTCGACTTTCTCCGGAGTGAAGGAATCGGTGCACAATTTTACCACGCCATCACGTTTATCGTAGCCACAATCGCCGCATAGCCAATAAGCAAAGGCGATAGGGGTTAATAGTTCTACTATGTTGGAAGGAATAACTTGAACATATCTTCCACCCTCCAATGTATACCATAGGGTATGAAGTTAAGTAAGGAAGGGAAGTGAAAAGGTTGCGAAGTGATAAGCCGTCGTAAGGGTAGCCTTTCGGGTTTGAGTAGAAGAGTAGGGTTCGGCCCCCACCAGCCCTATTGAATTGAAGAGATCCCAGAGATGATAAGTGAATTCCTTATCCTTAAAGCCAATTGTTAATCTTGCAATAGAGTTGCGCAATTGTAGGTGGGCGGCACCGAGAATTAAACAAGTAATAAGGAGGAGGGAAAACAATAGCACCCTTTTGTTCCTTGGTTAGCCCGGTGCCGGCTGCGGTCTGACCCAACGGGTTGGACGACCGCAGGCGGGCCCCCTAATACTGTCTCCTCTCTTCGAGGTCTTACTGTTCTTATGGTTTTCCTGGTTCGGGGTTTTACTCTACTTCTTTTAATCCATTTTCTCAAAAATTCCCCCCTTGTTCTTCCTCTTCCCCGAACCCCAAAGGTAAACCCTCCCCTAAATGGCTAACCAAGGCCGAGAAAGGCTGCCCGGAATGCTCACATTTTTTTCTTCATTTTGCGAGGCGGATTCTGCTCTTCCTTCTCTCGGTTCTTAATCTTCTTGTTATTCAGGGGCAGGAGCCCACCCTAAAGGTAAACCCACTCGAAAACTCCTCACCGAAACTCAAAAGGCTACCATAGTCTTTCCTGAGCCTATAAAAGAAATGGTGACAGGTATGCTTATGGGCGCCGGGTATCTCTCTTTGCCTGCTGGGCGTCAAATGCCAGACTTGAAATAGGTCAGGAGAACTTTGCTCTGGAGCTCTGGGGCCGGTTGGATTTTGTAGGTATTGTAGTGCAGCCCCGAGAACCCAGACGAAATTGGACAAAAGACCGTAGTAGTGGAAGGGTTACCCGTACGTTTATCAGTACGGGTTCTAGTTTTAGGAGGGGGCGGACGGTGCCGGGCCTGATAAGGCTACGGCTCCTGCTGCCGGGCCGTACCCTTATCAGGACCGGCACCGGGTCGTCCAACCCGTTGGGTCAGACCGCAGCCGGCAGGCCATAGGCGCTTTCTCTTTAGAGTCAAAGTAACCCTCCCCCACCCCCTTTTTAACATTGGGACCCTAAGGTGAATATAGTTTAAAGGTAGAACGTCAGTTTGTGGTATTGAAGGTTTGGGTTCGATTCCCGGTATTCACCCATTGGATTTGTTCTGTTGTTTTTTAGAGAACTCGGACAGGTTGACATTTTAAGGAAATTGTTGATAAAATGACAGAAATATTAGCAATTTCTATAGAAGTTTTGAATTTGAATGTAAAGACATTAGCCTTAAACCTTAAAGGTTTGATTATTTTCGAATGTCGTAAGACATTACGTCTTAAATCCTCTCATTTTTACTGGGTTTATGTTCCACCCTAATCATTTTGAAATGTTAACCATTGACAAATAAACCTCCGGTATACAATTACGCGAAATTGAACCATGACCAAATCAACCTCCCCAATACAATAACCCGAAAGGTTAACATTCACAACCTACCCACCCCCCCCGCCGGCATTTAATATCTAGAGAAGAGCCAAATTTGAATTTGTTTTTGAGTTATCTTGAATAATTTGAATCAAATTGATTTCCTAGCTCCCCCGAGTCAGCCTCCATGATAAAGTGCTATCCGCAACGAGTTGAAACTATATGTGCTTGTCCTGGGCAATAAAGACGTTCAAAGGCCTATTCGCCGGTGAAGAGTGGCTTTTATTTGTGAATCCTAGTTTAGTATGAAAAGACAAGACACTATTTACTCTATTATACATTATGCCTACTGGTTTTAGTATACCTTGGAGTTCTTCATCTGTCCAAAGACAATGTTGGGGTCCTATTGCCAATGTTTCTTCTATCGGTGTTTATTATCGTTGCTACTTTACCGGCTTCTGCTGGGTCATAAGACCTTGGTATACAGCTTCCTCTCGACACCTTCCTTGCAACTTTTTTACTCCTGTTGATCGGAGTATCCTGGCCTCCGCTCCCATTATACTCATTCTCGCTGCCGGTTACTTTATACTCCTTCTGGCCTCCGGTTCCATTATACTCCTTGTCGCTGCCGGTTACTTGATACTACTCCTGGCCTCCTTTTCCATTATACTCATTGTCGCTCCCGGTTCATTAGCGCGTCCTCTCTCTACGAGACGTTATTAATCCTCTTCTTCAGCCGGCGACCCTAAGGGCAAACCAACTCGAAAGCTGCCGGGCCGTAGCCTTATCAGGCTCCTGCTGCCGGGCCGTACCCTTATCAGGCCCGGCACCGTCCGCCCGCCTGCCTTTAAGTCCGGTGCCGGTCCTGATAAGGGTACGGCCCGGCAGCTTTCTCGAGTAGAGTAAAAGTAACCGGCCTCTTTAATTCCACCCCCCATTGGAACCAGGTTCCTAGTAACCAGGTCTAGTTAGATTAGCAGAAGTCATTCGTAATTTTCATTAGCTGTGTAAATTGTTGATCAATATTGAAATATTGATAAACAAAATTGCTTGATAACCCGACGACCGGGTGTTGGCCAAGGCGTGTTGGGCAAGAACGATCGGTCGAGACGCGGGCGCCGTTGCGCGTCGGCCTCGTGGGGTATGTTCGTCGACGCGCTTGCCTGGAGCAAACGGATCGGGGCCTGATAAGGCTCCAACTTTTAAAATCGCGAGCGGTCGTTGAATTCTTATTGCTTGCCCCCCTTCCTTACTTACATAACCCGGCTTATAGGCAACTAGGTATTGGCTTGCCAGCAGAGCAGTAGAGCAGTTTCAGGAGACCCACTGTTCCTCCATGTCTTATTGGGCTGGTAATTTTCTTTTTGTTTTGTTGTTTTGTTTGTTTTTTGAGCTCCTAGCCGGCGGCGGCCATAGGCGGCGGCCATAGGCGGCCATAGGCGGCCATAGGCGGCCATAGGCGGCCATAGGTACGGCGGCGGCCATAGGTACGCCTACGGGCCGTAGCCTGAGGGCCCGGCTCCGTCCGCCATAGGTACGCCGCCGCCGGGGGATGGCCATTACAATAAGCGTCATGGTTGTATAGAAATTGCAACGCATTCTTTCAGCCTTCCTGAAGTAGACCTTTTACGTTCTATTCTCTTAGATCGATACGGTATTGAGTCTACTCGCCCTGCCTATAATAAAGCTAAAGAACAATCAATTCTTCGAATCCCAAAAAGGGAAGTATCTAAAGTACAGGCCCTTGTTTCTAAACTTATACCTAATTCGACGGCCTATCGTGTTGGTCTTTCTTCTTCCTCTGAGTAGTTGCCTTATTAACTCTATGAGACTGATCAAAGGTTCCGCATTGGTTCCAGACAATCTTTCTGAACTCTGAACTCCGATTGCTCTTGCCTATTGGCTAAGTGGCTGCCGGCTGCGGCCTGACCCAACGGGTTGGACGACCCTGCGGTCTGACCCAACGGGTTGGACGACCGCAGGAGCAGGAGCCGTACCCTTATCAGGCCCGGCACCGGATTGCCATTACAATAAAAAAACAAGGTAGCATAGAAATTTCAACTCATTCATATACTGGTAGCGAAGTTGAGCGCTTAAGAGCTGCCCTCCTTAAGAATTTCAATATTGAGTCTACGAGAGTCTCTGGTGGTGTCAAAGGGAAGGATCAATATCGTATACGTATCCCTAAAAGAGAGGTTGCTAAAGTTAAGGATCTTGTTGCTGCTCACCTGCCCTGCCTTCGACTATGACCTATCGTGTTGGGCTAGAACCCATATCTTGATCTTTACTCCTAAAATAATCATTCCTTCAAAATTCCCCCTTAGCGGGTAACTTAAAGACAACAAAGAGAAAGCGGCTTAGAAGGACCGGTGGCTGAGTCTGGTTAAAGGCGCCCCACTTGAAATGGGGCAATGCTCCCCGAGCATTCCAGGGTTCAAATCCCTGCCTGTCCGGCGTACCCTTCTGGCTAAAAACTGACCCCCACTGCGCCTGTAGCCGATTCATTCTAATTGATTTCATAGGTCTAAGTACGCGCAAGCGGTAGCCCCTCTGCCCCACTAGGCCCGACGGGCCGAAGAGGATCCTAGCCATCCATGTCGTTAAGACCCCCAACTCCAATAGAGTAAGGCTACCAGCCTTTCGTTTTTCTACTCTCTAAACCTTAAATGGAGGAGTCAAAACTTGAATGGCCATTTGTCCAGGATTTGAAAATTTGATTCAAAAATCAAGTAGAAATAGAGTTTGTTATTTGATTTTCATATTGGATATTTTGTTTTTAGGGGCTCCCCCGAGTCGGACCCCCCCTTTAAAGTGCTATCCGCAACTGGGAAATTGAAACCATATGTGCTTGTCCTGGGCAATAAAGACGTTCAAAGCCCTCTCCGGTGAAGAGTTGTGTTCTTATTGGAGGTTACCTAGTTTAGTATGAAATATGATTCTTTTATTCTACACTATGATTTGTAGTGGCTTTCGTTGGCTTAAATGGCTTGATAGAAGTAAGATTGGCCCCCTGGTTGAGCGCATAATAGCGAACCCAGGTGCCTACTCTTCTGCTTACAAGCTACGTATCCTTAATCATTGTATGCCTTCTTACGTTGCTAAACACCTTGCGCCTCTTATTGGGATTCATGACTTTAAGCGCCCTGGTCAACACTATTCTACTTCAGCGGCTGCTCCTAGCAGTTTGCCCGGTGATTCTCCTTGCTCTTCTTCGGGGTCCTCTTGCTGTGGGGGGTCTTGCCTTGCCACCCCTTAAAATGGGGGGGATTCCTCTACTTTCTCTTCTCATGGCTCTCCCACAGAGCTGCTGCTTTCGATACTTCTACCTTGGCTACCTCAGCTTCGCCTTCTACTGAGCTTTCATCTACCACTGCTGGTTCACTATGCTCTCCCTCTTCTAAGGAGGCGGAATCTAACTCTCCTCCTGACTCCACTTCTGGGGGTTCCTCACCATCTGATTTCTCGAATAGAGGCAAAGAGCAAGGTAAACCAACTCGAAAAGTGCCGGGCCGTACCCTTATCAGGCCCGGCACCGGCCTTACCAAAGCCCAAAAAGCTCTGATTGTCGTCCCGCCTCAATTACAACAGGTCATTACAGGTATGATTCTAGGCGATGGTCATTTGCAATTACGCGGCTCTCTTGCAAGATTTACAATAGGCTTAAAGGACAAGGAGTTTGCCTATCATCTGTGGGATCTCTTCAATTCAATAGGGATCGTGGGAGCAGAGCCTTACTGTTCAACTAGCGTTATTAAACCTAGCGGGAACCTTAGTGTAACTTATCACTTCGTTACCTTTACACTACCTTACTTTACTCATTTATACCACAACTGGTATAGACTAGACAATGGGAAAAAGGTTAAAGCTCTTCCTTCCAACATAGATGAACTGTTGACCCCTGTGGCTCTTGCTTATTGGATCAGTTCAGACGGGTCTTACAATAAGACTCAAGGAGCAGTAATAATTCATACTGAATCCTTCTCTCCTGATGAGGTTGAGATCCTCCGTTCTATCTTATCGGACAAGTTCAATATAGATTCTACACGTAATTTACACTATCGAGCTACTGATCAGTAGTAATTCGGATCCCAAAACGGGAAGTTCCTAAATTACAGCGCCTTGTGAAAGCCATTATCCCCCCAATGATGAGTTACCGAGTTGGGCTATAGAGCCTTATCTTACTTTTTCTCATTAATTCTTAAGTTCCTTTAAAAAATTCCCCCTACCGGGCAACCTTTCCTTTGGGGGTTTCATCCTTTTCTACTGGTCACTCTGAACCCTAGGAGTCAACTTTCTTGTTCTGAAGGGTGTGCCTCCCCTTCTGCATGTTCTCAGGGTGATTCTGAACCTTGTGGCTCTTGCTCGGCTACTACTACTGCTCACTCTCAGGAGTTATCTTCATCTTCTTCGGGGGGTAGCTCTTCTTGTTACTCACCCAATTCTGAGTCCTCCTTAGGGACTTTACGTCTTCGGATTTACCTCCAACCCACTCCAATGTGAAACCTAGTAAACGTTATCAAAAACTGCCGGGCCGTACCCTTATCAGGCTCCTGCGGTCGTCCAACCCGTTGGGTCAGACCGCAGCCGGCACCGGGCTTAGCGAAGCCGAAAAAGCTGCAATAGTCTTCACTGATAAGATTAAAGAACTCATCACTGGTGTAATATTAGGTGACGGGTATATAAGAATGGTCGGGACCGAAGCACGTTTAGAAGTCCAGCAAAAGGATAAAGAATTCGTCTTACTGCTCTGGGAAGTGTTTGACTCTATAGGTCTTGTCGGTGCGAAACCTAAAGAACTCTCTTCTTTCCTAAAGGAAACGGGTAAAACCTACTACGCTTCAAAATTCGTAACCTTTACTCACCCCTACTTCACTGATCTTTACAACAATTGGTACACTAAAGTTGAGGGGAAAAATGTGAAGGTTATTCCTAACGACTGCGGCCTGACCCAAAGGGTTGGACGGCCGCAATAGCTGAACGGATAACTCCTATTGCATTGGCCTTTTGGGTTAGTGGGGACGGGTATTTTCATAAGAGCGGTGGTCAAGTACGTATAGCGACTCATGGCTTTACCAAGCTAGAGGTTGAACAATTAGCTGCACTCCTATTGGAGCAATTTGATCTGAACTCCAGAATCCATATTCAAAGAAACCAGAAAGGAATAGAACAATACTTCATTTATATTCCCAAACGCGAACTACCTAAGCTGCAACACCTTGTGAAACCTTTCATTCCTCCTATGATGGCCTACAGAGTGGGCCTTTAATTCGTTTTTGGGGTAAAGGGCTGGTCTCGCGGCGGCGTACCTATGGCCGCCGCCGGGCCGTAAGGCCGGTGCCGGCTGCGGTCTGACCCAACAATTGGGTTGGACGACCCCTGCGGTCTGACCCAACGGGTTGGACGACCGCAGGAGGTGCCGGGCCTGATAAGGGTACGGCCCGGCAGCAGGAGCCTGATAAGGGTACGGCCCGGCAGCTTTCTCGAGAGAGTGATAGTAAGCCTTTACTAACCGGAGCTAGAGAGAGCCGCACCCCACCAACGGCATAAATTACTGAATCTTTATAGATTTACGAGAGTAGAAATCGAAGGGCGGGGTGGCCTGCCAGGGTTTGATTTATTTATACCTCTCTGGAAGAGAGGTCTATTTATAGATTAAACTAAACCCAACCATATTCTACGGTAAGACCTAAAGGGGGTTTAATTCATTTATATACACGAACCCATGCATTACGCTCGCGTTAGCCCTACAATTGTTTTGTCAAATTTGTTGTCCAAAGGACCAAGGCGTAACTCCCAGAGGAAACCAACATGGACGGGTAAACCTTGCCGGTCGAAATGTCCTATTTAGCCTAGCCCAACAAAGGGGGCCCGAACGGAAAAGGAGGGAGTTGAACCCTCAAGGACAAGATAGTCCCATAACTTAGCAGGTTATTGCCTTAACCCATTCGGCCACTTTTCCTTGAAACCGCTGCTGAACGCTTGGGTTGCTTTGAGGGACCCCGTTTTTGGGCTATCTTTCCTATTTTCTTAACACTGTTCTTTCTTTAGGTGGGCATTATTACCGGGCAGGTCAAGGCAACAATTAGAACAATTCCTTAATTTGTTCTTTAAGAAGGGGGGGGGGGAATTTTGAAAGGCTCCTGTTGAACAGGATTAAGAAGAAGAGGGAAGGCCAACACGATAGCGCATTGAAGGGGGCATATGAACAGAAACAAGGGCCTTAACTTTAGAAACTTCGCGTTTAGGAATTCTTATAATTGATTGCTCTATACCTTTGGAATTCCGTTGAATATTAATTGTCGAGGAAATATGAAAGTGAAGAATAGTTATTCAAAGTTCGACCTCAGCTTTAGTGAAAGAATTTGTGTAAATATGAATGCAGTTATCTCGTTTATGGTAAGATCCATCGCCGGTGAGCCAGTAAGCAAAGGCTCTAGGAGTTAATAGTTCTGATATATTAGCAGGAAGGCCCTTCACGTTTTTCCCTTCCACTTTCGAATACCATTCCAGGTGAAGCTCACTAAAGTAGGGATGAGTCAAGGTAGCGAATTGATAATTAATATCAGTTTTACCGGTTCGTTTATCAAAGTTAGAGTATTCACGGGGACTACTCCTACAATACCTATAGAATCAAAGAGGGCCCATAAATGGTCCACAAATTCCTTGTCTTTCTGCTTAATTTGCAACCGGGCATCATTCCCGTGAATTTGTAATGAGCAATCACCGAGTGCATTCCTGTAATTAGTTCTTGCATTTGAGCAGGAAAGACAATAGCAGCTTTTTCTTATTTTGTTCGGCGGTTTAAAATAATCTTGTAGGAAAGGCTCCCGGCTTCCCCGGGATGGAACGGTTGCGCTGGCCGCTTAGCTTAATAGGAAAAGCATGATACTTCTAATATCATTGATTCAGGTTCGACTCCTGAAGCGGCTTGGGGGGTTGATTATAAGGGCCCGGTTCCAATGAGGCCATTAAACTATAGTTAAAATGAATAAGCTCCGGGTAGGTTTCCTTTTTTGAAACTCGCTTCGCGGTTGAGTTCTCTTCCTTAACTCTGTCAGGGTTGTGGGAGCCCTAAGGAATCCATTTATAATTGAAAGTCTTATTTGGACTATTATCCTTTAAAATACAATGAACTTCGGATAATTCAAGTTAATCAAGGAAGGATTACACTCCAACAAATATACAATAAAAAGGGAGAACCTTACCTGCGGCAGTCACTGCTGATTAGAAGAATTATTTTACAAAAAGGTTAAGATGCATCACCGAGGCAGCTGGACATCTACGGCAACTCCTGAGGGTAAGCTATTACTTAAAGGTCTGATGTTTGGTTAGTATCATAATACAGGGGCGTGTCGAAAGCGTCTCCCCCTATTCGCACGGGTAACATTGGTACGCCTTAGTTGAGACTGGCTTAATACTTAGATAGGAGCGACCTTAGGGCAAAATATCTATGTTATAGTGATATTATAGGTATTTTAGTGGCGAATGGTGTGTGTGTAAGGGTCCCTCCAAATTTGCTTGAATTTGATTGCATGCAATCAGCCTATATTTACTAATCAATTTGTCAACCAATTCAATTGGAATTCTCCAGTCAACTGGAGAATTCAAAACAAATAATTAAGTCTAGACAGTTTCAGTATAGTAAATAATTTACTTAGTGTTCGCTGTGGGGCAAATTTAGTTACATATAGCAAATTTATCCCTAAATCAATATCTAATAACTACCGGGGTTTAGGTGTAGCTCTTCAATGGAATCAGTGGCTGCTGGACTACAAGGAAGGAAAGAATGGTCTTTATGTCCAAGTTGACTGCATCTTTTGTTCAGCGAATAGGTTAGCATCCGAATTGGGAGAGCCTTATCCTTATAGAAGTAAGAATAACTCAAGATCATACCTATAAGAACTGATTGAATCTCGGTTATTCTTAGCTTGTTGGTCCGCAACAATAGCGGTTTTGCTCTTTTGCTACTCCCCCCTTGTTAAAGGGAACGATATTAGGAAACACTAATAATCAATAATAAGTCAAGGATACAGCTGAGAATGAGTAGAGTATAAAGACCCCCTGCCTTTTCCAGTGAAAAATGATATCATTTTGTTTTTTGGTAATATATTCAAAATTGGATATCGCCTACACCACATTACATTAAGTCACTCAGAATGAGTGAGAGGAAATAAGATAGATTGAAATCAAGGGAGTTATATTGACACATAAAGATTATTACATAGTTAAACAGTCAGGAGTTACATTCATACATAATTAGATAAAGGCAGAGGTAAACTTCATGAGATACATAGTTTAAGTCAGAATGAGTGAGAGATAAGGTCTCTAAGGTGCAGCATAGAGTGAAAGATCACATGACTTCATTTATCTCATTAAAGAGTTCTCCATGAGAGCTGCCCTCCCCGTGCCGATATTACTATCCGCAACGATATACGCTGAACAGCTAGAATTTGACAACCCTTCGGTCCTGGGCACTTCTTTAATAGAAGAGGCCTAGTACTAGGCCTGACTCTAAACTGCCTACTCGCCGGTGAAGACTGGTATTTTTCTTTGAAGATCTGAAAGTATGACAAATTGTTTTCAATAATTCTAACTATGCCTACTGCTTTTACTATACCCTGGGGGAATTGGGCCGAGAGGAAATGTTGGGGTCCAATTGCTAATGTTCCTTCTAATGGTGTTCTGTATCGCTACTACTTTAACGGGTTCTGGTGGGAAATCAGAGTTTTTCTTCCTCACGACCATTACCTCTAACTTTTTGACTCCTGTTGAGTATCCAGCCTCCTTTTCCTATGTTCGACTCCCTCTTCTTGCCGTTCTCGTTGTACTGGAGCTTTATCTTCTTATAGTTCGATTGTTCATTAGCCTACTCTACGAGGCTTATACTAGTTCCTTTTCATTTCCTTACGACCTTCTTTACTACCGACTCTCTTTTAGGGGTCCTCTTAGTTTCTACTCTATTTGTTACTTTAGCTTACTGCAAGTTCGCTGTTATTCTACTAAGCCATCTACCGATTCTTCTGGTCAAAACTCTGAGGACCCCGAAGTTAACAGGAAGCCAAAGAAACGGCTAACGAGGGCAGAGAAAGCGGGGTTCTCAGTTCCTGAAGATGTTCAAGAAAACAATTATAGGAATGATTCTCAGCGATGGCTCGCTCGAACAAATGGGTAAACATGCTCGATTGAGAATAGAACAAAAAGACCGTGAGTTTGCCCTTCACCTTTGGATACTCTTTGATTCATTAGCCTAGTTGGTGCTAAACTCAGAGAGAGCTCTCATTTGGATAAGAGAAGTGGTAAAACCACTTTTTGCTTATGCAATCGCAACCTTTACACTTCCCTATTTCACTGAGCTTCGTAAGGAGTGCCGTAGATGTCCAGCTGCCTCGGTGATGCATCTTAACCTTTTTGTAAAATAATTCTTCTAATCAGCAGTG